ACTTGCTGGTATTTCAGGAGTTTTAGTTGAGGCCATAGCCTGATTCACAACCTGAGATGCTGAAGAGATGCCGCATGATTGACTATCTGTATCATTTGTCTGACTCTCTGATGTTCAGAGTGTGCCCACGTCAAGTCAGTTTGACATTCTATAGATCTTGTGGTAGAAGGTCGAGAGATAGCAGCAGCATAGGTTTGCGCTATGGGTGGCTGGCCCATGGTGTCTGTGCACCGGCCGTACAGTTTCTTAATGGATGGATTGATGAATGGCTGGCTGGACGGCTTATCCGTCAGCTGGAATGCTGTGGTAGGCAGGCCCGTGGGGCCATACGGCGTCTGGCTGGTGTGGCTGATTGCCGTGGACGGTCTGTCTCTGGCCGTGGTCCATGGGCTGGCCGTGCGGCTCAACTTAAAGATCTTATGTAGGCTGGCCTACGGCCGTGGACGAAGATCTGGTAGTCTTTGCCAGAGCTACTGTTGTGATCTAAGCGTCCATATCCGACAGCTTAGCATCAAGCATGTCCTTCATCATCTCCAGCTGTTCTCTCAGAAGTTGTCGGATGAGGCTTAGGGTGAGAGCAGGAGATGGTGGGGTCGCTGGAGTAGAAACTGACTTTTCAGTGATGGGTTTATCTACTTTTTTTCTTTGCCACCTCTCTCCTCTTATCCTTAGTCACGGCCTCTGACATCTTGGAGAATATCCCTTCGGATGTGTTGGTGCATTTCTCACATCTCTTCTCCCTCTGCACTTCGAGCAGTTTAAATGAGGATCTCCCGTGATCATAAATCGACCACACTTCTTACACCCGGGGGTGATGGAAGACTACATCGCGACCTCACAAACCCCAACACCAGCTGTACTCACGTGCGTTTATTCTCTTTCAGCAGCAATATTAGTTTAAATATATATTGATTAATATGTCTGTTATTATATAATCTTATTAGAATAATCTTAGGTTAATGTGATCTACTACCAGGTACTAGACCCGTGAAGATCCGGGGTAGAATAGGTCTTCAGCAACCCATGCTTGCCATAAAAGGCGACTATGCTTGTCGTAAAAGGCGACTTACGGGATCGGGTGGTCAGGCTCACTGACTTGGTTGATGCATGCCATCGATCCCAATTGCGTGGATTGATGTTCATGATGTAAATCACTGGATTGTCTGGTCCAGACTCGATTTTTAACAGACCGCCGTCATATAGCTGGAATATTGCTGAGTGCGGCGTAAAACAACAAACAAACAAAACAAACAAACCAGGTGCTAGATTGTCCCTACTACTATAGTAGGTGTTGACACCAGCCCGCACAGCAAAAAAGTGATATGGCCGCCATTGTAACGTCAGGGCGTGGGCAGTTACGATACTACATGGCGGCATCTAACTGTGTGTAATTGACAGTGAAGAGGACGTCTGTTGAAAATCTGAAAATCTTAATTAGTGTGAGTGTAGCCAATATACAGGATTTATGGCAGATATGAAATAGAGGTAGAACTTCTGTAAGAATTATGTATTGTACGTAATAATTTCGGTATCCATGCTTGAAGTCCACGAAATCCTTACCCTTTCTGTAACCTCACCCGTTATCTCGAAGTCACAACTACCATTCCCATTCTAATCCCCTCTCAGGACAATCCTATGGCCTATCGGGACAAACTGTACTGCGCCAGTGTGATGCATATATCTACCTTCCAACAATTCAGATTTGTTTGTTTGTTGTTTAACGCCGCACTCAACAATATTCAAGCTATGTGACGGCGGTCTGTGAAGATTCGAGTCTGGACCAGATAATCCAGGGATTAAAATCATGCGCATCGATCCACGCAATTAGAATACGATGACATGCATCAACCAAGTCAGCGAGCCTGACCACCCGATCCCGTTAGTCGCCTTTTACGACAAGCACAGTCGCCTTTTACGGCAAGCATAGTCGCCTTTTACGTCAAGCATGGGTTGCTGAAGACCTACTCTACTCCACTTTATTCTACAAGATAACTGTCTAAACGTCCGTTATGTTGTAGGTTCAATTTTGTTTGATTGTTGTTGAGCTTTATGACGGTGGTCTGCAAATAGTCTGGAACAGACATACATCTACACATTTGGGATACGATGACAAGCATCAACCAAGTCCAACTCTTGCTTGAAAGGGTTACAACATCCAAGGCCTGAGCAAAGCTTTCAAAAATGTCTCCTGATAGAAGGTGATGACTTTGATGCATAAGTGGCCAAAATGATACAATTCCTTACTTTTACTTGTACAATGTGTTCCCGTGGAGCCACCATTCGCGCAGGATACGCTGAACCTTTTGCGATAGCTGATATCATCACGTGCTTTTAATATAGTCTGAATCGTAATTAGATGTGAGGTAAAATGAGGTTTAACGTCCAAAATTATTACACTTATATAGCGACGTACATGCACATGTGTGTTGCTGCTTGAACTAGTCCGTATGTGTCTGTGTGTATCTGTGCGTGTGTGTGCCTGCTTGTACTAGACTGATGCTGATTTGTAGTGCTAGCACACTGAGATACCATGCCGCTGTTTAACATGAATAACCAACTCAGACACAGTATACTGACTCCGAGTAGACCAGTCCTTGTTTTAGCCCCTTATTGCTGAGCGCCAGACAGGGTCACAACAAGTACCATCTTTTAACGTCTTTCGGTATGACGCGGCCGGGGATCGAACCCCGGACCTTCCGCTCTCCGGGCGGGCGCTCTACCACTGGACCACGGAGGCGGTCTTCGTACATTAGAATCTATTTTAGCATAAATAGTCTGTGAAAGGGATTTGTCTTTTTGATTGGAAAACAACATCATCCCTGGATCTATTACTAAATTATGCCAAATGCAAGGAAGATGTCAGTATGACATGAAGCGTACACATCAGTCTGATTTTGAAAGCGTATACATAATAATAAGATTAAGATGTTGGCGGTGATTCATTGGCCAAAATATACCATCTGTTTCTGATTGTCAGCAGTGTCGATAAGTCCCCGCCGTTTTCCGCGATTGCGAAATATTTTGCAGAAAATCCCTTTTTGTGCAGAATTTGTGCAGAATTTTGCATTTTTCTGCCGCAGAATTCATCAAATACTCTGCAGAATTTTAACATGTGAGTTGACAGCTGTTATTAAAAGTGTAAAAGTTGCACAGGTTTATTGAAATGAACGATCGATATTCAAATTGTGCATTGTATTAATTAAATCATTCCAAATACGTATTTGAACAAATGCAATCGTTCAAGGATCCGTGAAGATCCGGGGTAGAATTTGTCTTCAGCAACCCTTTCTTGCCATAAAAGGCGACTATGCTTGTCATAAGAGGCGACTAACGGGATCGGGTGGTCAGGCTCGCTGATTTGGTTGATGCATGTCATCGATCCCAATTGCGTGGATCGATGCTCTTGATGTCAAACACTGGATTGTCTGGTCCAGATTCGATTATTTACAGACCGGCGTTGAGGCGCTCATTGCATTGTATTTGGACAATGATTTGTCGCCAGGAATGTAGTCCCATTTGATATAAGCAATCGTCAGATGCGAGAGTGGATTTGTTACTTCCGGAAACGGCGGGACTCGCCTAGCATTGTATAGAGCCTTACATCACTATGTAGAAAGTTCTGGAAACTAGTTACTGTCATCAGATTATATATTGTCATTGAATATTGTACTACCACTCTATTGTGTACTGTAATTGTAATTGTGGACTAAAATCACAAAGATGGCAGATTTTTTCAGTGAACGTCAATACTTTAACAGAATATTCAAACGTTCTTAGTGGCGTCCGATGCGTTGCTCTCTTGTCTCCCTAATGAGTCATGTGTGTCTTTATTCTACAGACGGGGCACCGCCTATGGTGTCAACTGTATGGTGTGTTGTATTATGACGCCGCAAGATGGATACCGTGGCAAATCATCGAAAGTGCCCAACTGTCAACAGTGAGTGAGTGAGTGAGTTTGGATTTAACGTCACATCGGCAATATTTCAGTCATATAGTGACAAGATCAATTTATACATTAATAATAAATACATTTTGACTATATATAAACCTGTCGACAAAAGACAGTAAAACAAACTAGACTATCACAGATATGAATATAAAACTAGCATGGAACTGTAAAAAGATGTAACAATACACAAGATATGATAAAACCGGGGTATTGATCGCCAACCACTGAAGATAGATCACCATACTGGGGACCATGGGGACTTACTGTACCTTTGCTACCTGCACTGTCAACAGAAGCCTGACCGCTGTGATATCTTAAAAGCTTTAAAGCCAACATAACGCTATCTTTTTCTTGCTCCAAAATTTTCTTTTGGTAATACAGGAGAATACATGATGAGTTTACAGTATCAAAGAGCCCCAATGTCAGTGGCCCTAGTTGCCCCACGTGTTAACTATTGGTTGACTTTAGTGATCCTTTCAAGGAAGTTTTAATTATGAGATTGCATCTTACGCCCCATTGGATCTGTTTCGTCAAATACCCGTGGATGATTTTTCTGTTAAGTTGATGCTTTGTATTGATTATACTTGTAAAGAACTGCAAATAGATCTCTAAAACTTAAAGACACTTCAACATATATGGCTTAACAATACATAGACAAGCACTAGATAAACCACATCTCCTTTTCAATACATTCCCACCACTTTATCTGTATTGAATTCATAAGTGAAACCACGACACGTCTCCCTTGGTGATTGCACAAACATATGTTCATATTGTAAATATTTACCTAAAGTGCATTTAGTTTGAACAATTCATTAGTTGATGAGCGTCAAAACACGCTTGTCTCCTCAGATAATTAATAAACTTTTTCCAGTACATTCCCATCTTCATTTGCATTGAATCGATAAGTGAATCAGCGATTCATATGCCTTGAATAGGTCTTTAGATGACTGACTTCAGTCGTTGATGAGTGCGAGAAAAATGTTGGTGGCTCTGATAATCCTTCTAACGGGTTCCTACACATCAGCCTTTATTGGAACTGGACGAGGAACTAAAAGCACAAAGATGGCAGACGTTTTAGTAAATATCAATATCTTAAGTGAATTTTCAAACGTAATCAGTGGCGTCCGATGCGTTGATCACTGTCTCCAGAATGAGGCTTGTGTGTCTGTATTCTACAGACGGCAACATCGACGGTGTCAACTCCATGACGTGCTGTTCATGTCGCCACAGGACGGAGAACAAGAGACGGATACAGTGTACTACAGCGTCACAACAGGTGAGGATATATTCAATATGTCATTGAGGTGTGTAGGCGAATGGTTTAAAAACAATAATGCAACATGTACTTCATTGAATCCAGAGCAACATTGATGGAATGAACTATGCTATGAGTGAGTGAGTTAGTTACTATTTAACGTCACATCGGCAATATTTCAGCCATATCGTGACGAGACAAAATTTGACCTTCATAATATATATGCAAACTGTATAAATTCCTGTAGATGAAGGACAACAAGAAGATTATCACAGACATATGTTTAATACTAGTATATAACCATAAAATATGACTATTCATACCATTACAATAGGGCCATAAAAGTTGGCTATATGCATGGACCCCAGCAGGATTTACACCATCCCTTTAGTAGCTGGTGATTATTGACAGGGTTTAGCCGGAGATTTAAAACAAACAAATATTCTACGAATAAAACACTGGTAGACATAAAAATACTTTGATTTATTTTGGCTTACATACCCTTTCAGAGGGACAATAATTTTAATGATACTTCAACCCTCTTCAAGGATATTGCCACTAACTATCTCAGTTAAAATCATATAATACCAATTTATAAAATACATTACTTTCTACATCAAAATTTATTAAATAATTCTATTTCCTTTATAAAAACGATAATTAAATGAGCATGTATTTGATTAAAAAGATCCTTTATGGATGACACTTTGAAATATTTATCCCTTGTGATGGAAAAACCAATACAGTCAAGCAGGACATGCTTGACAGTGATATTTTCATCACAAGTGATACAAAATGGAGGATCCTCACCTTTCAATAAATATTCTTGTGTGTACCTGCTATGGTCAATACGACATCGTCGCATTATGACCTCTTCAAATCTGGACTGTCAACCCACGTAGGTATAACCGATAGTTGGTTTAATTTCATGTAATTTATTGATACCCACCTGGGTGTCCCACTTCTTTTGCATAAGATCTCGGATGTAACATCTGATAACTGGCTTATAATCATTGTATGGGATCAGAAGTGGTGTCACAGATTTGTTGAGTGCTGCTTTTGCAGCAGCATCGGCCATTGTGTCACCAATGATTCCAACATGGCTCGGTAACCAACAAAATACGATGTCATATTGGCTAGTGGCAAGATCATTATGTAATTCAACGATTTGGAGTATAAGTGTATGCTTATATGACATATACTGAACAACAAAAGTTCCTGTGACATTGAATAAATTTGATGCAAAGTTATGTTTTTAACCAAATCTGAAATAATTTCGGTTTGCAACAGATAAAAGACTCCTGTAAGTGTTCAAATGGTTTAATTTGCCATACTGACTTCAGAAAATGCGTGATTTCATTAAAAAAACATGAACATGCCAAAATGTCAATTTACAAATCAATAGCGTGTGTATCCACCTCTGGTTGCGATGCAAGAAACACATCTTCGTCTCATGGAATGGACCAGGCGTCGCACAAAGTCCTGTGGGATATCTGTCCATATCTGCTGGAGGATGTTTCGAAGTTCCTGGAGTGTCTGTAGAACATGTGGTTGACGTCGAAGGCGCCGATCCATCTCATCCCACATGTGCTCGATTGGTGAGAGATCAGGGAAGCGAGCCGGCCAAGGGATGATATTCACGTTGTTTTGTTGAAGAGAAGGCTGAACAAGTCGAGCAATATGAGGCTGGGCGTTGTCATCATGAAAGGTAATGCCTGGGCCATGACGACGCAAAAACGGTAGAACAACAGGGCAGATGATCTCGTCGTGGTAGCGCTGTCCATTAAGATGTCCCTCTTCCACTATCAAACGGGTCCTCTGTCTTGCTGGAATCCTAGCCCATACCATAACGCTCCCGCCCCCTAACCGATCTTCTTCCATGATCTTCTTCCACAATGATTGACGTAACGTTCACCTCAACGTCGGTACACTCGAATCCGTCCATCGCTGTGGCCGAGTTGAAAACGAGACTCGTCAGTGAATAGATCTTGTCCCCACTGCATGGCCGTCCAGCGTAGACGCTGTCTGCACCACTGTAGACGTGCTTGACGGTGGGTACCTGTCAAAATGGGACATCAGGCGGGTCTTCTGGCGACAATCCCTTCACGGTTTTTGAAGATATTTGTCGAAGGCCAGGGATGCTTCTTGCAGTCACTGTTGCTGGCTGAAATCGATTACATAGGTGTGTTGTTCGAATCCAGTTGTCGTGTCGATTATTGGTTACGTGTGGCCTGTCACTCCGAGGATTGTCTCTGACTGCATTAGTCTGTTGCCAACGTTGCCATAAACACCAAATAGTGTTTCTATGGACGTTAAATTATCTTGCAACATAACGTTGACTCGATCCTGCTTCAAGCATACCAATGGCTCCCAGACGCTCATTTTCGGACAGGCGTGGCATTTCGTAATGTTGAATAATTGCGTAATTTTGTCGTTTTTCTGAGTGGTTGTTGTCAGCACGATGCTAAACAATGCATATGGAATGTGCGTTAACGCACATGTTTTATGCCCATTCTTGGGTAGTGAAATGCATGGAGCTTGCATAAAAGTCAACTATTGCATGGAATGGATGCTTTTCTGTAGCAGTTGACTTTTTGTGACTTGATTCCATACATGTACTACAATATTGAAAACCAAACTTTACTTGTTTGAAAAATACACTAAAATATTGGTGTCACAGGAACTTTTGTTGTTGAGTATACATTCCCAACCCTCTTCGCTGCTTCAAATGCAAGAAGTTCGGACATGGTGTTAACACTTGCCCTCGTGTAGAAAGAGCAGCTGGAAATAAACAATAAAAATTCACAAGAAACATTAGTTTTGCAGATGCAAAATAACTTGTCCAAACCACTGACCCTAAAGAATCCTCCGCTTCCATCACCAGAACACCTTCTGAATCACACACACACTAAAGTAACCAATCCGCCAGGCATGGGTCTCCAATTCAGTCTGAGTCATCTTGCGATCAGGATTCAACAAAGGAACAATCGTCACCTCAGTCAGCTTTACAACATATTTCTCATACAAATGTAAAACAAAGTGTTAAAAGCAAACTGAAACCTAGACCTGAACCTTGAAAGACCTATCAAAGTGGCAGAGCCCCAAAGGGATCAGAAAATCCAATCAAGATATTCAATAAGTTTGCATCACTTGAAGACATGGATGTGTCTGACAATATCCATCCCAGGGCACATAGCTGTTCGCCCTCAAAGAAAGTACAGGGTAGATCCCCAATTACTCCCCCGAAAAGATAGTTTATTCCCATAATATTAAACAGTGGAATTGTAGAGGACTGAAGATTCACTTCAATGAATTACATCTGTTTGTCCAGGATTATAAACCATCAGCATTCTGTCTACAGGTAACGTATCTAAAACAGACTGATCATTTTAATTTACGTCAGTTTCAAGCATATCATTCCTTTTCTCCTCCTGGGGATAGGGCCACTGGAGGATCTTCAATTATTGTAATGCATGATGTTTTCATAGTCCTGTTACACTCAACACCAATTATACAAGCCGTTGCAGTGCGACTTACCTTGAACGTTGCTTTTACTCTGTTCTCTTTGTATCTTCCGCTTTCGTTAGCTCTTCAGTTGTCTGACCTTTAAGATCTCTATGATCAACTCCCCAAGCCCTGTGTAATCATGGGTGATCTAAATGGCCACAACCCACTCTGGGGTGGTACAAACACTAACAAAACAGGTAAAATGATTGAGAATTTTATCTACAATAATGACCTCTGTATATTAAATGATGATTCAAGCACTTACCTGAATCCTGCAACTGGAACCAACTCTTCTCTCGATATATCTATAACTGATTCCAACCTACTCAACGAGTTTGAATGGTCAGTCCACAATGACCTTTGTGTAAGTGACCATTTCCCAACTATCATTAAAACAATAAATCCATCTGATATTCCACCTTCAACAAGATGGAATTTTACAAAAGTTAACTAGTTTTTATTGCAGACATTATGCACAAATAAACTCAGACCTGAATGTTTTAGTGATGTTGATGATCCTGTGCAGGCTTTTTCAGACGTTTCAAATGAGATTACTGAAGAATGTATACCAAAGTCCTCTACAAATCCACATATACGTGAAGCATGGTTTAACACCGATTGTAAACAAGATAGGAAAGCTAGGAAAAAGGCAGAGAAGTATTTAACTGTCCATAACTTAAACAAATATAAAATTTTGAATGCAAAAGAACGTCGTACGTTCAAACAAAATAAACGCCAAGCTTGGCGGAACTATGTTTCTAAAATAAACTCACATACACCATTGTCTAAGGTTTGGAATTTGGTACAAAGAATATAAGGTAAAGGTTCAAAATCTAGTGTTCACTATCTTAAAGAACGTGACACATTATTAACTGATAAATCTGATATAGCCAATAGAGTAGGAGAAACGTTACCTAAACATTCTTCATCAGCAAATTATGTACCAAAATTTCAGAAATTTAAAGACCAACAAGAAAGAAAATTAATTTTAACTCTGAATGGTGAAGATTATAATGAAGTTTTTTCCAGACATGAGCTAAATACTGCCTTAGGACAAGCTCATGACACTGCTACAGGTGCTGATAATATCCACAATCAGTTACTAAAACATTTACCCAACTTCTGTATAGAAACACTTTTAAATATATTTGATAATATATGGACAATTGGGAATTTCCCTTCGTCATGGCGGAATGCTGTTATTATTCCAATACCAAAACCTGCCCCGGATCACACTGATCCTTAAAATTATAGGCCAATATCGCTTACTAGCTGTGTTTGTAAGACCATGGAAAGAATGGTCAATAATAGATTGATATGGTACTTAGATCTTAAAACAAATATTCAATACGGTTTTAGGAAAAATAGAAGTACTATTGACCATTTGGTTAGATTTGAATCATTTGTTAAAAATGCTATCATCAATAAACAACACACCGTATCTATATTTTCCGATTTAGAAAAAGCGTATGATATGACCTGGAAATATGGAATTTTAAAAGATCTTCATGAGATGGGGTTGTGAGGTCGTTTGCCTAATTTTATATCACAGTTTTTAACAGATAGGCATTTAAAGGTACGTGACGGATCCACCTTGTCTGAATTCGATCAAGTTCAAGGTGTGCCCCGAGGTAGCATATAATCAGTTACGTTGTTCAGTATAAAGATTAATAATTTAGCTCAGGTTTTGAATGACTCTGTTAATGGGTCGTTATTTTTTGACGATTTTAATGTTTCATGTCAAGGTAAAAATATGCACATGATTAAAAGACAGTTGTAACTTTGTCTAAATAAAGTCAATGTTTGGGCAGAGCAGAACGGCTTTAAGTTTTCTTAATCTAAAACTAATTGTATCCATTTCCAATCTCATTAAAATCAGATTTTAGTTCTCGCTATCGCTAAACAAAGATCTGAGGACATTCAATTACGGGTCACGTTAGAATTACATCTAACTGGAACTCCAATTAAAGTCGTAAAAGAAGCTAAATTTTTAGGAATAATTTTTGATCATCACCTTACTTTCTTACCAAATATTAAAATTTTTTAAATATTGAAAGCTAAATGTCAGAAGGCACTCGATTTACTAAAGGTCGTTTCTAATTCCAAGTGGGGAGGAGATCAGACGACCCTCCTTCACTTATATAGATCACTTGTCCGTTCTAAACTCCACTATGGCTCCATCATCTATGGTGGAGCCTGTAAAAGCAATCTTTACAATACATAACTAAATTATATTTAAAAAAGTCTAATCCAGCTTACCAGCTTACCAGCTTGCGTTTTTAATCCTCTTTATGAGGATCTTTTCAATAAAAAAGTCACCCCTTATTCCACCACTTGGAATCAGAATTAAACCTTTCATTTCTGTTGCAAAAATTGAACTTGAAAATATATCTCCTTTCCGCCTGCTTTCTTCTCCTCTTTGGCAATTGGTCTAAGCCACAGGTGGATCTTACATTATCTAAACTAAAGAAATCTGACACTAATCAACTACAATATCAACAGGATACAATAAGTTAAGAAGCGAATTATAACACTTACAAATCAATATTTACAGATGGATCCAAGGATGGAGGCGCTGTTGCCAGCGCCACCATCATTGGATCCATAACTATATCAACTAAATTACCAGATGACTCTTCAATTTTACAGCAGAATCAATGGCCATATTAGATGCTCTAAACTATAACAATAGCCAGTCTAAACATAAGGAATTTATTATTTTTTCAGACTCGTTGTTCTGTCTTCAAGCAATAACAAATATGTCGTGTCAGCATCCAATTTTACTTGAAATAATCGAATTACACAATAATCTTGCAACTGGCCAAAACAACACCGTCTTTTGTTGGTTACCCAGCCATGTTGAGATCGTTGGTAACACTTTGGCTGCTGCTGCTGCTAAGGCAGCACCCAAGAAATCTGTGACACCACTTCTTATACCATACAGTGATTATAAACCTGTCACTAGATGTTACATCAGAGATCTAATGCAGAAGAGTGAGTGAGTGAGTGAGTGAGTGAGTGAGTGAGTGAGTGAGTGAGTGAGTGAGTTGGGATTAACGCCACTTTTAACAGTGTTTCAGTTATATCGCGGCGTGTCAGCTTAATGTGGGACACCCAACTGGGTATAAATAAATTACATGCAATAAAAGCAAATATTGGTCATACCTACTTGGGTTGTCCGTCCAGATTTTGAAGAGGTTTTGAAGATTTTGAACAGATTGCTGTCTGTGTGCACATTCAACCAGGCGTGAACTGCTACGAAGGCGTGTAACATTTTTTACTACTCCGCAGTTACCTTCAATGCCCTTGGATTGCAAATGGGTTTAATTTAAATGGATTGCCATCAGCAGATGCAATGACTATAAACCGAGGCCAAGAAACAGTATTTGGAGCGGCAGCTTCATCGTCAGACGAAATGCAGTCAATGTGTCTGCGTTTGTTACTCTTTGATGAACCAGATTGTGTTTGTAGAGACATGGTGTAATAATACAATTCAACACCCCTACTACCCACCCGCCTTCGAGTGTCAACAAGGACAATGTTGCAGCGGGAGCCAGCCTGCAAACATCAGGGCTACAAAGGTATCATACTCCAGAATATACGGACATGAAAAGTCATGATATCTTAAAGAAGAAGTGCCAGGCTGGTTCGGCGAATGACACAGTTCCTAAGAGCACAGAATTCAGAGGTCTACATATTGCCCATGAGCCACCGCCCTCTGGCATAGGACTCTTGGCAAAATTCATAACATCAAAATATTTGTCTCATATTGCAAATATCATTGTTATGATGAACATATTTTGAAAATCAAACTTCCATGCACAGGGCAAAGGCGTGACCAGCTGATTAAAAGAACTGGACCCATTCTACAACCCGTGTAGGTGAAGTAAGGGTCGAAGTGGTGTGTTGAGCAAAAGGAACACTGGTTCCTGGCTCCAGTGCCCTCAACCACCAGAATACCGTCCTCCACCGACACAGGGGCGCAACCCACGTCAAACAGGTTGCCCAATTTGGTCGCCTTTTACGACCAGCAATGGGCTGTTGTGGACAAATTCTGCCCCGGGTCCACACAGGGGAAGAGCTATTAGCGTTACCCAGCACTCACCATGGGGAGATTGCTCTTCACGAGTGGCGAACTATGCTGTTACCATCCAGCAATGCCATGGCAGTTATACATTCTTTAGGTATATGTTTTGTAAAATCAGCCTGTTTGACAAATAACGTGCTTGCTAAAATTTGCTTCATTCATGTGAACTTCTATCTTAATAGGGATCCATCGCCTTAGAAATCGTCTTATCAATCAGTCTGAAATGTTCATGCCCAGTCAATTCTGTAACGTTGTGTTCACTGTGGGCTGCACTTAATAAATGGCAGAAAGTACTAATCATACTATTATATTTTTACTTATCATCAATACAGTTGAGATACATCTGTGTTTCCTAAAATGTTTTTGACATTCTGTAACCAGTCACGATAGTATCATATTTCCGGGATTGGCTTTCTTGCATAAGGATGATCAGTGCCCTTGTCTGTCTCAGGTGATTGTCCATCTGGCTACGTCCACAACCGCCTCCTCAACTTCTGTTACCAGCTTCATCTTGAGACGATCTTGTATGACGATGGTCTAGCTGACTGTACGTCCAGAGGAGAACACCTTGTTGTCATTGACAGTGAGAACAAGCAGAACCACTTAGTCAAGCAGATCACCTCGTCATCAGGTTTGTATATTTCACTCGTACTGTTGTATGCACATTTACACAAAGACTTCTATCAGACTGATATACACTATAAAAAGAAACGCATAGGTGTTTTAAGAATTCCATTTAGATTTTTTTCCCAGCAATCGTCATAAACACAATGCTTATGTTTGATTCCCGTTAATCATGTCATGTTTGTTGTGCATTGCGTGCAAACACATCTAAAAAAATTTGTTTGTAAACGTTTATCAGCAAAACTGAAACGGATGCACAGAAATTGCTTTCAGAAAAAAGTTTTCAGCAGAATGCACATGCAAGGTGTTGGAAACAAGAGTAGAGACAGTGACTTTAAAAGACCGTACAAAATTCATCAGTTCATTACGAATTTTCTGACATGAAGGGAGATCGAAAAAGATTGACTGCAACTGACCGCAATATCGCCATTGGACGTTTGGAAGCAGGGGAGTCCCAGTCTGCCGTTGCAAGACACTTCAGCGTTCACCAAAGCACAATATCTCGACTATGGGATTGATATACCCGCACTCATTCGACTCAAGATCATCCCAGAAGTGGAAGACCAAGAGTGACCACCCATGCTCAGGATCGGTACATCATGTTGCATCACCTTCGGAATTGATTTGCAACAGCAATGGACACTGCTGAACAAGTGCCTGGTATGCGAAGAATTTCCGACCAAACCATCAGAAATCGTCTGAGGGAAGTGGGAATTCGAGCGAGACGACCAAAAGTTGGACCTGTCTTGTATCGTCTACACCGTCAACGACGTGTCCGGTGGTGCAACAGAGTACAGGCATGGGATCTCAGGAACTGGCGACGCGTTTGGTTCAGCGATGAGTCACGTTTTCTTCTTCAACGACGGGATGGAAGATAACCGTGTGTACCAACGTCGACATGAACCTTTGTGCGCCGAACTGCGTTCGACAGGTGGACCGATTTGGTGGAGGGAGTGTCATGGTGTTGGGAGCCATATCATACATGGGTAGATCACAGTTAGTGGTTGCCCAGGGCAATCTTACAGCAAACCGATTCATAGACCAAATTATGCGTCCTCACCTCCTCCCAACTTTGGAGCGCCAGAGGGAGCTGTTCCAACATGACAACGCTCGGCCCCACACAGCACGTGCAACAGTTAATTTTCTTGTTAATGAGAACATCAATGTCCTTCCATGGTAGTCCAAATCGCCTGATCTCAACCCGATTCAACATTTAGTGTGACGAACTTGATCGACGTGTCCGTCAACGTCACCAGCGTCCCCACACACTGGCACAACTCACCAACGCCTTACAGGAGGAATGGCAAAGAATTCCCCAAGAACAAATCCGACGACTTGTGCAATCTGTGCCAAGGAGGTGTTGAGCAGTGACGGCTGCAAGAGGCGGTGTGACCAGGTACTGACCATGACGCCCCCTTGTGGCTACACATGTGCAATGACTGAAATGAATTAATGCTGACAATGACGTCAATGTTTTTGTCGATCACTGTGTCTAATTTCATTTGATTGTGTTCACACATATTCTGTGTAGATACGACCGCCTCCGTGGTCTAGTGGTAGAGCGTCTGCCCGGAGTGCGGAAGGTCCGGGATTCGATCCCTGACCGCGTCATACCAAAAGACGTTAAAAGATGGTACTTGTTGTTACCCTGTCTGGCGCTCAGCATTAAGGGGCTAAAACAAGGACTGGTCGGCTCGGAGTCAGTATAATGATTCTGAATGGGGTATTCATGTTAAACTGTGGCATGGTATCTCAGTGTGCTAGCACTTTAAATCAGTCCGGTCTAGTACAAACGTACGCACGCACGCGCGCGCGCGACAAAAAAGCGACAGAAATCTATCTATAATCATTAGAAATAACATGTTGTCTATTGTACAATTCTGATTTTTTCATAAGCATGTGTGGGGCACGGGTAGCTTAGTCGTCCAGAGGCAAGAGAGTTAACTGACTATAAAAGTCCAGTTTCCCCCCTTGCCGAACTAGGCTGGTATTAGGAAGTTATATTTTGGTTGGACTAACGAGTCGATGCACATTCCAATCAAAATCGCGCAATGAAATTGAAATCCGGTTGATAAACTGTCATTCAGATTTCGGATAATTGCAGGATTTCCAAAGCATGTGCACCGCCAACTCGTTGTGAACAGATATTTTCCAAATCTTTTCATGTCATTAATCATAGTGCTCACGTGATTTGATGCTCTTTGCGATGTAAGACCCGTTTTATCACAATATAGATCTTGATTATCGTTCAGATCGTCTTGACTAGGCGCAACTATTTGAAGCAAATGCAAGTGATACGAGAGTAGGAATTTGATTGGTCTATAGGAGAGGCATAGAAGGGACATAACTCATAATAGCCACCCGTGGCGCTACGATCGAGCCCAGGAATTCCAGCCAAGTTCGGCAAGGGTGGAAATTGGACTCTCTTGCCTTGGGAAGATGTTTGAGTCGCCGCAGTTTGCTGTGCAGAATTGCGTTCCTTGGGCACACCAAAAACCTATGATCATTGGGTTCGTATCCCGATGTTTTAAGGTTTGTCAGCACCATACCCGCCCTTCCTCCCACATTAAGGTGACACGCCATTATATAACTGGAATACTGCTCAAAGTGGCGTAACTCACTCACTCATAAGCATGTGTTTATGGATCACTATCTTATAGTGATGACAATAGGTGTTCGCCAAAAGGTGAGCGTATCCTGCCAAAACAGGCAAGTCCAGTGTTTACTTGAACAGACACGGAAACATATTTTTTTTTTTCTGAGCAAGAGTCGTATGACGCTCTTTGAAATCTGTAAAGAAAGGGCATGGTCAATTGTACCTGGAAGGTGGAGGACGGTATTCTGGTGGTTGAGGGCATTTGAGCCAGGAACCAGTGTTCCTTTTGTCCAACACACCACTTCGACCCTTACTTCACCTAGACGGATGGTAGAATGGGTCCGATTCTATCAATCGGCTGGTCATGCCATGCCCTGTGAATTGAAAAGTGTCACCTCAGAAATATATATCAAACCATTTTTTGATGAAATATGATAATATACTTATGCATATGTAAATATTGCCTGGAGTCCTATGCCAGAAGGCGGTAGCGCATGGGCCAATCTGGTGATGTCAACCTCCGAATTCTACATGTCTCCAATGTTCTGTCATGTGCCGAACCAACTTGACAATTCTTTTGCTAGACAAATGTAGCTATTCATGTTATATTTGCTGGTATATACCACACCTGTAGCCCTGGTTTTGCAGCCTGGCTTCCACTGTAGCACCGTCCTTGTGGACCCTCGATGTCGGGTTGGGAGCAGGGATGCTGAAACATATTATCTCACCATGTCTGTAAATCTACACTCTGGTTCATCAAAGGCATACAAACGTCGGAATGTAGATTCTCTTTCATCTGATGAAGGTGTGCCTTCACAAGTGGCTGATTCTTGGCCAAGGTTCATTGTGATCGGATCCGCTGATGACAATGCTCTCAAAACTTAATCCATTTGTTATTTCTAAGGGAATTCAAAGCATCTGTGGGGAAGTAAAGAACGTTACCCGTCTTCGTTCTGGTTCAATCCTTGTTGAGTGTGATCGGAAGCAACAATCTGTTAATCTGCTGAGTATCCAGCAATTTGTTAACACAAAGGTTGTTGTTTTTGCACACAAATCGCTTAATTCCAGCAAAGGTATTGTCCGAGATCGTGCTCGCTGTCTCGCAGACATGACAGAGGATGAAATAGCTCATGAATTGTCAAACCAAGGTGTTACCTCGGTTAAACGCTTTACCAGATAAACACGGGATGGAAGTATTGTCAACACTCAAACGTACCTTTTTACTTTGTCCCTCTCTGCTATCCCCAAAAACATTAAGGCTGGATATTCAACATCGGAGTGGAGGTGTATGTCCCCAATCCACTCCCGTGTTACAAATGCGAAAAGTTCGGCCACGGAGCCAAATTTTGCACAGCCAGGACAAGATGCTTTCGTTGCAATGGAACTCATAAAAGTTCAGAGGATTGCATAAATGACATCAAATGTGGACGATGGACAGCACTTGTCCTCATCAAAATCCTGTCCTGTCTTTGATCGTGAATCAAAAATAATCAAAATGTACCAACAATATTTCATAGAAGCCAAAATATGATATCTTCCATCCCAAACACCTTTCACCAAAACATTTCAGCTGCCGTGTCTGCTCCAACTCCAGTTGTAAAAGTATCCACATCCTGCACTCAAACTGTTATCTCTTGGGTTAAGGATGCTCAGATTACACTAGACGATTCCACCCAGATGTCTCAAAATAGCCCCTTGCTAGCAACATCTGCTTCCCAAACAGAATCTTTCATCTGAAACTACAGCCACGAAACAATTAGAATCAGAATCTATTAATGACATTGAAGATTTTCAAGGTAAAGGTCCAACAAACAAAAAAAGCAAATGAGGAGAAGGGCCAGGGCTCTCCAGCACTTGAGGTGCCTTCTCCTACTACAACCCCTGTAGAGGTACATAATACTTTTGGACCTCTGGAAATGGAGGTAAGTCCCTTACTCCCAGTCCAAGGGAACAGACCTCCTCCACGCTCTCAATCTCCAGTTGAGCCACCATGTGTTGCTCTTCTACTATTATCCAATGGAATAACAGAGGACTAAGGAACAATTTCAATGATTTGCAAATATTAATCCAGGATTATAAACCATCGGCTTTAAGTGTACAGGAAACATATTATAAGATACTGACCAAACCCAGATAAAACAATATAACGCATATAAGAACTTCTCTCTTCCTGGACATAGAGCGACTAGAGGTTCTTCAGTATTGGTGAGGCAGGATGTTATACATAGCCCAATAACTCCATCTGATGTTCCACCATCATCAAGATAGAATTCCACGAAAGCTAACTGGCCTTTATTCGAGTTACTCTGTACGAGCAAATTACATCCTAATGGTTTTTTTGATGTTCCTGATTCAATAAAAGTGTTCTCCGATGAACTTAATATAGCTGATGAATGCATTCACAAATCCTCTGCAAATCCACACATCCTTAAACCTTGGTTTAAGGATACTTGCAAACAATCTAGGAAGGCACGGGAAAAAGCTGAACATTTTTTCCCGTCACCATCCTATGGTACATAATTTAAATAGATTCAAAATTGCAAATGCCAAAGCACGGCGTACGTTTAAGCAAAATAAACGCAAGTCTTGGCAAGCTTACATGTCAAAAATATATTCACTTACGCCCATGTCCAAGGTATGGAACATGATCCAAAAAATCAAGGGTAAGGGATCTAAATCTGGCATTCACCATCTTGGGATGGTGAGTTGTTAACTGATCAATCTGATATTGCAAATAAACTGGGTGAAACTTTGGCCAAACAGTCTTCCTCTTCCAATTATGTGCCTCACTTTAAAAAAAACCCAAAACAGCAGGAAAAGAAAGCTATTAATTTTAATTCAGATAATGGGGAAGATTACAATGAAATATTGTCTATTCATGAACTACATACTGCACCCGGACAGGCTCACGATATTGCTACTGGAGCTGATAACATACATTATCAACTCCTGAAGCACTTACCAGAATCATATTTACAATCAGTGTTAAATATTTTTGATGAAATTGGACGTCAGGGCGATTTCCACCGTCTTGGCGTTATGCCATTGTTGTTCCAATACCTAAACCAGAACGTGATCACGCAGATCCATCAAATTATCGACCAATCTCACTGACAAGATGCGTTTGCAAAACCATGGAACGCATGATAAATAATCGACTTATATGGTACTTAGAAACAAATAATCTCATTACAAATATACAATGTGATTTCCCTAAGAACAGAAGTACTATCGATCATTAAGTACGTTTAGAATCATTAGTAAAAAATGCCATAATAAACAAACAACATGCAGTGACATAACTTTGGACTGCGAGGTCGTTTGCCTCAGTTTATATCAAACCTTTTAACAGACAGACAATTTCAAGTCTGCGTGGGTTCTACCCTGTCTGATCAGGATCAGGGTGTCCCACAAGGCAGTATCTTGTCTGTCACATTATTCAGCATTAAAATTAATAGCTTATCGAAAGTTTCAAATGATTCAATTGATGGATCACTTTTTGTGGATGATTTTAATATTTCCTGTCGTGGCAAAACCATGCATACAATCGAAAGGCAACTGCAGCTAGGTTTAAATAAAATACAGAAATGGTCTTTGGAAAACGGATTTAAATTCTCAAAATCTAAAACAAACTGCATTCCTTTTTGTAGAAAATATAAACCGCATAAAAATCCAGAACTTATTTTAGATAACTCTCCCCTATTAAAGATGTAAAAGAAGCCAAGTTCCTGGGTATACTTTTCGATCACCATTTGACTTTTCTGCCTCACATTAAATATTTGAAGAATAAATGTCTGAAGGCCCTGTACTTACTGAAAGTTGTCTCAAATTCTAAGTGGGGAGGAGATCAGAAAACCCTCCTTCAACTATACAGAGCACTTTCAGATTAATTAGATTATGGCTCAATCATTTATGGTGGAGCTTGTAAAAGCAATTTAAAAGTTCTAGACCCTATTCACCATCAAGGCCTGAGGCTTTGCCTAGGGACCTTCAGAACTTCGCGGGGGCACGGGTGGCCCAGTCGTCTAAGGCGCCGCGATTCGCTTTGCAGAGTTGCGTCCCTTGGGCACGCCAGAAACATAGGATTATGGGTTCGAATCCCAGTTCGCCCCGATTATGTTTCTAGGTTTGTCAGCACCACACCTGTGCTCGTGGGTTTCACCGAAGTGGTAAACGTCTGAGACCTGCACCTCTTTGGGCTTTCCTCCGACATTAAGCTGACACGCCGCGATATAACTGGAATACTGTTAAAAGCGGCGTTAAACCGAACTCACTCACTCATTCACTCACTCACTCATTCACTCACTTCAGATCTTCGCCGATACAAAGTCTGTATGTGGAGGCTGATGAGCCGTCCCTTCGACAACGTCGCATTAAATTATCTTTGCAATATGTATCTGAAATACGTTCTTCGAAATCCAATCCAGCTTCTGACTGTGTTTTTAATTCTCTATACGAAAATCTCTACCAAACAAAATCATCTCTTATTCCACCTCTTGAATAAGAATAAAATCTCATATGTCTGCTGCGCATATAAAGCTTGGAAACATTGCCCCCACTCAGCTTTTCCCTTCTCCACCATGGCAGTTAGTGAAGCCAGAGGTGGACTTTACATTAACTAAACTAAAGAAATCTGACACAAATCAACTAATTTATGAACAACAATATCATGAATTACGAAGCACATATGATACTTTCAAATCTATATTTACAGATGGATCCAAATATGGTAACGCTGTTGCCAGCGGCACTGTCATTGGATCCAGGACTATTTTTTCCCGATTACCAAATAACTGTTCTATTTTTACAGCGGAAGCAAATGCTATTTTAACTGCACTCAAATACATCAACAGCCAATCTAAACATAAACAGTTCATAATTTTTTCAGATTCTTTTTGTGCCTCTAGCCTAGTCTTCCACACATCCACTGTTAATAGAAATTATTGAATTGTTTAATGAACTTGCTACTGGCAATGCGACATCGTCTTTTGTTGGTTACCTAGCCATGTTGGAATCACTGGGAACACAATGGCTGATGCTACTGCAAAAGCAGCACTCAACAAATCTGTGACGCCACTTCGTTTCACATACACCGACATCAAACCTCTCATCAGATGTTACATCCGAGATCTGATGCAAAAGAAGTGGGACACCCAAGTAGGTATCAGTAAATTACATGAAATTAAACCAACTATTAAACACCTACTTGGGTTGTCAGTCCAGATTTAATGAGGTCAATTGCGACGATGTCGTATTGGCCATAGCAGGTACAAACATGAATATTCATGGAAAAGTGAGGATCCTCCATTTTGTATTCCTTGTGATGGGAGAATCACAGTCAAGCATGTCCTGCTTGACTGTATTGATTTTGCCATCACAGGGGATAATATTTCAAAGCATCATCCATTAAGGATCTTTTTAATGGTATTGATTCTCGTTTAATTGTTGTTTTTAAGGAAATAGAGTTGATTGAGAATTTTTGATTGATACGTATGATAAAATATAAATGTTTTAAAATTGGTAGATTAAATTAGCAACTGAGATTGTTTGTTGCAGTATCCTTGAAGGGGGTTAAATACTGTAAAATTATTGTCCCCCTGAGAGGATACGTAAGATCCGCTTCGTTCAAAGTAAATTTAATCCTACCGCGATTTTAATAGTAGTATATTCGTTAGTTTTAATTGACGGCTAAACTTACATATAATCGCCAGCGGCTGAAAGTATGATATAAATCCTGCTGGGATCTACATTCAATAGCTGGTGAACTATAGGCCGTTTTTTCAATGTATTGTTCTGTTTGGTAAAAGCTTGTTAGGATCAAATACTAGTTTTTAAAATAGATATCTGTGGTAAGTCTAGTAATTTTACTGTCCTTTGATGACAGGTTTTAATGTTGTCTAAACTGATGTTTTCCTAACGTAAAAATTACCTTAGTCACGATATGGCTGCAATATTGCCGATGTGACTATAAATACTCACTCACTCACTCTTCTAAAGTATGGCTACCCTACATGAAAGGCCTCCCTACATGTAAGCACTGTTTGATCAAAGAAGTTGGTACAAGTGACATGTCAAACAATATACAATTATAGACTTTTCAGGAGGTTAACACCTGGTTTTTTTATAGACCCGAGAAAAACAATATTGACAGGACTCCATCTCATGGCTGTGTTTTTGTCGCTTTTATTGTATTGACACCCGTGAGTGAATGAGTGAGTTAAAATTTTACATCGCATCGGCAATATTGCAGCCATATTGCGATTCGTGAAGATTCGGGTTAGAATAGGTCTTCAGCAAACCATGCTTGTCGTAAAAGGCGACTAACGGGATCGGGTGGTCAGGCTCGCTGACATGGTTGATGCATGTAATCGAACTCAACTGCGTGGATCGATGCTTATGATTTTAATCACTGGATTGTCTGGTCCAGACTCGATTATTTACAGAACGCCGTGATATAGCTTGAATATTGCTGAGTGCGGCATTAAACAACATACCAACAAACAAACTTTTATTGTATTGTAAACAACCAGGATAGGATAAATACATCAATGCAAATGTAAGGTTACAAAATAAACATTGGTATGACAAACAAAACATCCCAAGCAGTAGTGTTGTAGCATGCAAAATGTATCAAAACATTTAAGGATGTGCGATTGATATGCCGAGAAAATCAAAAATATATATTCATTTCAACAATACACAAAAAGATGATGCTGTATCAATTGTGTTTCTGTCAAGCACTAAATATACTGATACACTCTTATTTGCAGACACTAAGCCTTGCAGTTACTACATCGATGGGTCGGACGCAGTAAATGAAGGGCACTGGGTATTCCATGATGGCCGCAATATGACGTTCTTTCCCTGGGCTCCGGGCTATCCCCTTGGCGACAATAGGAGGGACTACATGTTGGCTCACAGGAATGGAAACTTCCTATGGCGCAATGCGATAAATGTAAACTATATGCATTGTTACATTTGTGGGAGGGATGTGTGATATGCTGAATGTTGCAGCAGTGGACATTATCACGCCTCCAAGATGTGATTATGTGAGGAATACATCCTTGATCTGTAATGTAATGAGTGATTGTTGGTTAGTTTGTGTGTTTAACGCCGCACCCAGCAATATTCCAGCTATATGACGGCGGTCTGTAAATAATCGAGTCTAGACAAGAATTTGACTGAAACTTTAGCGACCTGGTGACGATCATTATATTTACATGTAGAAAATCTTTATACCGTGTGGTCCTAAATTAAGAACACAAAGAACAATGAAATGTTTTTTGTCTTGAACAAAAATCTAGAGTTTTCAAAAGTTATACGGCCAGTGAATAAGAAGACCTAGCTTTATGCCGTCACAATTAAAAAAGTGAAGTCACACAGTTGACATGTTCAACTTACACAGGCCAAGATTACTCCAAAGAGTTCGTTATGCTGACGGTAAGATTAACGTAACATTTACAATGTAACATTAACTTAAAGGAGCTTGTGACAACTATTCCTGTCAATCCTTATCCTTACTGTACATCCGGCTTCATTACTTGTGTGCTATTTGTTATTCTTTCTGTTCATTTAACTTCAGCGAGTCATCTGTATGCTACTTGTTATCTATTATCTGATGGAAATGTTAATCTGCTTACTAAATAGTATGCATATATAACTCTCCTCACTTGGTTGCAGTCACCTGTCAGCTTGATAATGGTGAGAGAATCTACATAGAAACATCGTTATGTGCAATAAACCAGAAGTTATCAAGAAAGTAGTGCGTTTACTAATAATTGTTCATGACATCACAAACGATTGCATGTGGGACGTTCCAACGAAAGAATAACTGAGCTCCACTTGAGCTTGGGGCGGTCGGGTAGCCTAGTGGTTAAAGCTTTCGCTCGTTAAAGCTTTCGCTCGTCGCTCGCCATGATATTGCTGGAATATTGCTAAAACCGGCGTAAAGTCACAAAATCACTCATTGACACTCCACTTGAGATCAGGAAACCAACATTCGTCTGAGAAAAAATACTATGGATGGTCAGGGTAGTACTGCTGCATCTTTTATTAATGATTTGTCTTCTCTCATGTTTGTTGATAATGTTTGTTTGTTTCACGTTGCTATCGGACTCAAAGAATGATGTATTTGTTTGTTTGTTTGTTGTTTAACGCCGCATTCAGCAATATTCAACCTATATGGCGGGGGTCTGTAAATGATCGAGTCTTGGCCACTAGTCTCGAGTGATTGATATCATGAGCATCGATCCACACAATTGGGATATGATGACATCAACCAAGTCAGTGAGCCTGACCACCCGATCCCGTTAGTCGCCTCTTACGGCAAGCATATTCGCCTAGCATGGGTTGCTGAAGGCCTATTGCAGATGATGTCTCAGCAATGTTTGACATGTGTTCGCAGTTTTTGTAATCATACTGGTATGAAAGTAAACCTGAATTAAACTAAGGTTAATATTTTTATTAATGGTGATCCCTTTAGATTATATGAAAGTTGTTTTGTGATGGTACGACCACTTTATATCAATGTCTGGGACCTATATTCACCCAAGAGACGGGAATGTTCCAGGAGAGATCAGCTAGTACGGGGTGAGATCAGAGTGAACTGGGAGAGATTGAAATCAACTGGGAGGGTTTGGAGTGTGTCTGGAGAGATCAGATAGCACGGGGTGAGATCAGAGTGAACTGGGAGAGATTGAAATCAACTGGGAGGGTTTGGAGTGTGTCTGGAGAGATCAGATAGCACGGGGTGAGATCAGAGTGAACTGGGAGAGATTGAAGTGTGTCTGGAGAGATCAGATAGCACGGGGTGAGATCAGAGTGAACTGGGAGGGTTTGGAGTGTGTCTGGAGAGATCAGATAGCACGGGGTGAGATCAGAGTGAACTGGGAGAGATTGAAGTGTGTCTGGAGAGATCAGATAGCACGGGGTGAGATCAGAGTGAACTTAGAGAGATTGAATTGTGTCGGGAGAGATCAGATAGCACGGGGTGAGATCAGAGTGAACTGGAAGAGATTGAAGTGTGTCTGGAGAGACCAACTAGTACGGGGTGAGATCAGAGTGAACTGGGAGAGATCAGATAGCACGGGGTGAGATCAGAGTGAACTTGGAGAGATTGAAGTGTGTCGGGAGAGATCAGATAGCACGGGGTGAGATCAGAGTGAACTGGGACAGATTAAAGTGTGTCGGGAGAGAGCAGCTAGCACGGTGTGAGATCAGAGTGAACTGGGAGAGATTGAAGTGTGTCGGGAGAGAGCAGCTAGCACGGGGTGAGATCAGAGTGAACTGGGAGAGACTGAAATCAACTGGGCGGGTTTGGAGTGTATCGGGTAGGATTGGAGCGTATCGTGAAGAATTGGAGTGTATCGCAGAGGGTGTTGAGGGTGTCGGGAGACATCAGATCACATGGGGTGAGATTGAAATCAACTGGGAGGGTTTGGAGTGTATCGGGTGAGATTGGAGCGAATCGTGAAGAATTGGAGTGTATCGCAGAGGGTGTTGAGGGTATCGGGAGACATCAGATCACACGGGGTGAGATCAGAGTACACTAGAAGTGCTTGGAATGTACTTGGAGGGTTTCGTAGCGTTTCGGGAGAGAAAATGCGTCAAGAAAATCATTCACCTATTCACTTCTCAAACAAGCTTGTTCATTTTATGAGATAAGGTTCCATGGTCTTTTTCAAACTGCAAACTTGGATTTCTTGGATCGAATGATCTGCTTGTTGTAGAATCTCATATGGCAAATATCTGGGACTGGTTATTCTGTTGCGTTGATGCTTTGTATTGACTTTACATGTTAAGAGTTGATTGTTTTAAAAACTACAAATCGATTTCAGTTGAAGATGAGTTTCACGTTATTTTAAAATATCTTTTGTATGATAATATAAGAAAGGTATATATATAATGACGATGTTAACTCTCACTCACACTGTTTGTTTTTAAAACTACAAACCGATCTCTAACTAACCCAAAAGAAAACCGAATCTGTCAGTTTTGTAATTTGAATATGGTTAAAGATGAGTTTCACGTTATTTTGAAATGACCTTTGTATGATAATATAAGAAATAAGAATATATCTCCGAAACATAGAGAAAATTGTGACTTTGAACAATTCTGATTTTTTAAGATAGATACTAATATATTTTGTTTTCGTTAACGTCATATACACTGTACATGCATATCCATTTCTCACCTTAAACTTACCATTGTGTAATCTATATGTCTGTGGGCCTTTGGCCTTGAATACAATAAACTGAATTGAACTTGTATTTGTCAACTTCTTCTTGTCACCACATGGCTGAAATAATGTCGATGAGATGTTAAATTTTTAACTCAACACACTCACACTTCCGTGTTTTAGTTCCATGGTCTTGTTTGCGTATAGTTTGCGGTGGTTCAATGAGTTGCATCCCGAACTGCAAAGCTCTATCTCTTGGATTGTATGATCCTCTTGGTGTGGGTTCGAGTCCATATTACAACAGTGATTATTCAGGTTACAAGTCACCAAAGGTGTAAACATTTACATCCTGTGTGACAATAGGCATTCCTCCAACAGAAACCTGGCCCTCCTGATATACTAGTATTAAGAGCTTTAAACCTCGCGTTCCTCTTTATCTTGCTCCAAGATTTTCTTTTCGTACAACCGACTTCTTCTTTTATTGGAAATGGAAAGGACCCGTGACGATCCGGGGTAGAATAGGTCTTCCGCAACCCATGCTTGCCGTAAAAAGGCGACTCACGGGATCGGGTGGTCAGGCTCGCTGACTTGGTTGATACTTGTCATCGATCCTAATTGCGTTGATCGATGCTCATGATATCAATCACAGGATTGTCTGGTCAAGACTCGATTATTTACAGACCGCCGTCATATAGCTAGAATATTGCTGAGTGCGGCGTTAAACAACAAACCAAAAAACCAACCTGGATATGGAAAGGGTATTGTCGCTTTATTTCACTCGAACTGATAGAGAATACATGATGAGTTTCCGTCCTCTTTTGAAAGAGCATCACTGTCAACAGACACCTGACAGCCGAGATATCTTAACAGCTTTAAAGCCAACGTCACACCATGTTTTTTTGGCTCCTAACGTTTATTTTGGGTATACAAGAGAATACATTATGGGTTTACAGAATCAAAACACCTTAATGTCAGTGGCTCCCCACATGTATCCGCCGACATACGTTTCATCACCAGTTTGCCTTTAACGCCCCGTGGAATCTGTTTCGTCAAATATTCAAGACAGATAATTCTGTTGCGTTGACGCTTTGTATTGACTGTAATTGCAAAAGATTTAAATAAAAAATACTTCAAATCGATTACTAAAACTTAAAAGACGTATTGAACAGCACCAGATGAACCATATCTCCTTGTCAATACATTCCCACCACTTTATCTGCATTGAATCAATAAGTGAAACCGCGACACGTCTACCTTGATGATTGCACAAACATATGTTCATATTGTAAATATTACTGATAGTATAATCTACCCGTTCATATAGCGTGAGTGACTTCAGTCGTTGATGATTGCGAGAAAGATGTTGGTGGCTCTGATAATCCTTCTAACGGGACAAATCGTGTCGGCATAACGCCCCAAAACGTCATAACATCTACTGTCATACTTCTCTTCTGGTTGTAATGTGTTCCCAAATCGTTCATTATTATCAAACAACTATGACTAGAAACTAATATCTCTTCCAATATTGGAATTCTTTTAGTTATTTCGAGTATTCCCTACATTTATAAGAGTATGGGATTTAACAATACATGTGAAAAACACTAGGTTAACCATATCTCCTCAAATCATTACCTTTGAATACAATATCATCTTTATTTGCATAAAATCAATATGTGAATCAGCGACGCATTTCCGTACATGTGCCTTGAATAGGCCCATAGATGACAGTGGCTTCAGTCGTTGATGAGTGTGAGAAAGATGTTGGTGGCTCTGATAATCCTTCTAACGGGTACCTACACATCAGCCTATATTGGAACTGGACGAGGAACTAAAAGAACAAACATGGCAGACGTTTCAGTAAATATGAATATCCTGACTGAATTTTCAAACGTTCTTAGTGGCATCCGATGCGTTGATCTCTGTCTGCAGAATGAGGCGTGTGTGTCTGTATTCTACAGACGGCAACACCAGCGATGTCAGCTCCACGACGTGTTGTTCATGTCGCCGCAGGACGGACAACAAGAGACGGGTACAGTGTACTACAGCGTCACAACAGGTCATTCATTCATTCATAAATTCACACTGCTTCCTGTTAATGTATAGGATGATATCATATGTTCACTTTTTTACATATAGATGATGAATGCCCTTGTCTGTCTCAGGTGTTTGTCCATCTGGCTACGTCCACAACCGTCTCCTCAACCTCTGTTACCAGCTTCATCAGGAGAAGATAACGTACGGCAAAGGTCTTGCTGACTGTAAATCCAGAGGAGAACACTTTGTTGTTATTGACAGTGAGGACAAGCAGAACCACGTCGTCAAGCAGATCAACTCATCAGGTTTGTATTTTTAACTCTTCCTGTTGTATGCACGTTTCATATATCAGACTGAGGCATTTCGTCCTGGCATTAAACATTTGTGTTGAAAACATGCATTGATTTGTCTATTGTTATCCAATATAACCATGTGCGAGCAGAACGTCTTAGGTGCCGCAATTTGCTCTGCAGAATCGCGTTCCTTTGGCACGCCAGATCCTGATATTGTTTCTAGGTTTGTCAGCACCATACCCGTGCTCGTGTGTTTCATTAAGGTGGTAAACTTTTGAGCCCTGCATCACTTCGCTCACATCAAGCTGGCACGCCGTGATATAACTGGAATACTGTTAAAAGTGGCGTATCTCCCAACCAACGTAACCACGTGTTTATGAATCATTATTACCCACGTGGTGAAGATACAGGTGGTAAGATACTAAATCCGTACGTCACACGTGTGTCGTACAAGGTTGACCTTGTTTTATTCGTTTTGATTGGATAACCGTGACCTCTGTCACACCAGGACTACTATTTTTTCATTCATAAAAAATCGCGAGACATCATTCATTTTGCGATTACAAGGCAGAACTGAAGAAATTCATGAGAACGAGAGATATTTAGGCTACAGGCACTTTATTAAACCAAACAAGAGAGTCACACCATCAAATTCGGTTTACATTCTATATAAATTATGCATAGAGCTTCTGCAGACATATGATCGAGCTAGATCTATAAATCGATTTACAATGTACGACTGCCGATCGAGGGCGTCCCTTGAGCGTGACGCACCCGACCATTTTCTCTTTGCAACTTTCAATTTGATTTAGCGTAAATGGATAAGCGTGGTGAAATGAAGTCTGTTTAAACAATCTGGACAGATATCTAGACTTACTTGGGATGATCCGGTTGGGCCATCGGTGTCCCCTTTGAACATGTTGAAGCGTATTTTGTGGCGCTGTATCGGGAGGTGTTGTTCATGAATGAACGAACACGACAGCACGACCAGATCACTCAAGTTCACAGTTCCGATACAAATCATTCGAAACTCCGTGGAAGTGTGCTTGACTTTTGATTTTGTAGCCCCAAACATCCCAAATGTGAACAGTAACGTTCCCTATCTCTAGCGTAAAACGCTGTGAATGGATCGCGGTTGTCTTTTCTTATTCCGGTGGCGACCTTGCCCTTCGATCGTTCGAAGCTGTCACTGACATGCAAGCAGATTTGAGTTTCTTGATTTTCACGTCTTCAGTACATAGGGTGGTACAGTTAACATGAATGTCTTTGGTACGGACATGATATAAATTCAGCTGATAGATCAAGGAAACCGAACCATTTTGATTGCACAGACGGGACCCCGGCAGTGTGATGCGTGTGACTGTTGGTCCGATATTCAAAGCGCAGCGCTAATGTGACATTTCAAATTTTCTTATCGGTTTCCTGGTACTAACAACATGGCGCTTGAATTTCCATAAGTTGAAGACTTTCTTCCAAAAGGATCGTCAAACTTGGAAATGTCCTTAAATGTCTTCTATAAAACACTTTGAAAACTATACTGACGACTTATTTGTTTGTTTATTGTTAAACTCTGCAATCAGAAAATTTCAAGATGGCGGCGGTCTGTAAATAATCGATCCCGACAATCCGATCCGGTTGGCCGCCTCTTACGACAAGCACAGTCGCCTCTTGAGACAAGCGCGGATTGCGAAAGACCTGTTCCAACAGGGATCTTCACGGGACCAATTTAACATTAATTCTCTGTTATTGACAATAACAATCCTCGTCAGTTATTCAAATATGGACCACAATATATTGAACAGCCTCCTAATCATCGGGTTCAGAGCTGGTTAAATCATTTAGGAAGCTGTGGAAGCATATGCCAAAAGATAGTGTGTGATGTTGTCTTTGGTAGAATGCACCAACTGAAAAAGAGGAAACAGAATTGGTAAATACCAATTCTGTCCCAGCCAGCTGTCATCCAAAGTATGGCTATGAAAGGCTATGTTGCAACCCGTTTTGTAATAAAGTTGCAAAGTGTAATAATTATTACAAAACGAGTGGAGAGTCTTATTACAAAGTGAAAGGCACATAGCAACCCGTTTGGTAATTAAGTTGCAAAGTGTAATAATTATTACAAAACGAGTGGAGAGTCTTATTACAAAGTGAAATGCACATAGCAACCCGTTTGGTAATTAAGTTGCAAAGTGTAATAATTATTACTAAACGAGTGGAGAGTCTTATTACAAAGTGAAATGCACATAGCAACCCGTTTGGTAATAAAGTTGCAAAGTGTAATAATTATTACAAAACGAGTGGAGAGTCTTATTACAAAGTGAAATGTACATAGCAACCCGTTTGGTAATTAAGTTGCAAGGTGTAATAACCTTGATGCTGAAAGTGTTCAATTAGCACCCATAACTTGCTTATAAGATCAGTTAGGAACACAAACGGTATTAACGTCAATATTGGTCGTCAGCTGGAATATTGCTGAGTGCGGCATTAAACAACAAACCATCCAACCAACTAAATCACGAAAGGGTCAGGATCGTATACAATCGAGTCGGCTTTTGGCAGTTATTTCTGATTACTATGGATTGGTTGGTTGGTTGGTTGTTTAACGCTGCCCTCAGCGATGACTATGGAAAGGGCTCATGTCGCTGTTATTGTCTTGCAAACAACTAGGATAGGACAATTCATCAATGCAATTGTAAGGTTACAGAATAAACACAGGTAGGATAAAACATCACAAGCAGCAGTGTTCTAGCATGCACAATGTATCATAACATAAAAGAATGATGGATTGATATATCAAACATATATCCATTTCAACGATACACAAATAGTTGAAGTGATGCTGTATTAATTGTGTTTCAGTCAAGCAGTAATTATGATAAATCTTATTTGCAGACACTGGGCCTTGCAATTACTACTTCGATGGGTCGGACGCAGCAAATGAAGGACACTGGGTATTTCATGATGGCCGTAATATGACGTACCTTCCCTGGGCTCCGGGCTTTCCCCATGGGAACGAAAAGAGGGACTACATTATGGCTGTTCGTGGTCATAGCTTTCGATGGTATAATGCAATTAGGGGGGCATTTAAGCAATGTTACCTATGTGAAAGGGATGTGTGACATGATGTGAGCAGTTTTGCAGCCGTGGACATTAAAACGCCTCTCAAAATGTGATTATGACAGAGCTATAGATAAGCTTGTGGTTATTTGGGTATTTTACCCAGGGATTTAATTTTGATTGAGTATCCACAAGTTTGAAAGGGTATTCAAATTTTTTACCCTCCTGTTTCTTGACATTTGGCTATTTAACTTTAAACCTATTTCGTAACAATCCTTGTAAATCATTTAAAACTATCTGAATGGTAGAAAAGTCATCTGCGTCTGTTTGCGGCTCCCGGAAGCTCTTTTGTTTACAACCTAGCTTTGTATTTGTTGTTTGTTGTTTAACGCCGCACTCAGCAATATTCCAGCTATATGACGGCTAGCTTTGTAAGAAAGACACCTTTGTACTAATCTAATAGATGTAATATACGCATTAATTTATTTCAATGGTGTATTTGTAATTTTTTGTATTTGATACGCTAGAATTCAATTTGTCTCCGTATTTCAGCTTATTTAATGCGTAGTTTACACAAATACGCAGCTGATCTCTGAATTATATAAGGAACATATCCTGGATCTGTAATATAATGATTGAACGCATGACCTTTTAACTTACTAAGAGCTCCCTTGTGAGTGAGTATGGTTTTACGCCGCTTTTAGCAATACCCCAGCAATATCACGACGGGGGACAACAGAAATGGTCTTCACACATTGTACCCATACCTGGAATCGAACCCGTGTCTTCGGCGTAAAGAGCGAACCCTTTAACCACTAGGCTACACGACCGCCCCCTTGTTGCTTAATACATGTAGGTCATAGATAATTCATCATATGTATTCTGGTATCAATGTGTCCATAAATCACTATCAAATAGTGACTATACCAAGTGTCCTCGAAAAGGTGACCGTGTGCTGCTCCACCCGTAGCATCAGTCCCAAAGACTACCCGTGAAGATCCGGGTTAGAAACGGTCTTCAGCAAACCGTGCTTGCCGTAAAAGGCAACTAAGCTTGTCGTAAAATGCGACTAACGGGATCAGGTGGTCAGACTCACTGACTTGGCTGATGCATGTCATCGATCCCAATTACGTGGATCGATGCTCATGCTATCAATCACTGGATTGTCTGGTCCAGACTCGATTATTTACAGACCGCCGTCATATAGCTGGAATATTGCTGAGTGCGGCGTTAAACAGAAACCAACCAACCAACATGTGTGCTATTTGTTATCCTTACTGTACATCTGGCTCAGGCCAATCATCTGTGTGTTACTTGTTGTCCATTACCTGTTGTTGTTGTTGCTAATGTTAACTTGCTTATCACAACATGTTATGCATATTTTAATCTCATCACTTGGTTGCAGTCACTCCAGCTTGATAACGGTGTAAGAATCTTCATCGAAACTTTTCTATATGCAATAAACCAGTTTTCCATTTCCAAATAATTGTTCATGACGTCACAAACGATTGTATACAGGACGTTCCGTCAACGTTATCAATAGAATAACTGAACTCCACTTGAGATCAGGAAACCAACCTTTGTCTCAGAAAAAATACCTTGGATAATATAAAGAATAACCTGCTCGCAGCTCGGAATTACGGCGTGTTTGTCCCTCGCGAATTTATTTTGAAAATTCCCAGCCAGATTAATCCCAAAGTCCTTATATTCATGTAGCTCGTTGGTTATTCTTTAAATAATATCACCTGTCATATGCTATTATCAGATACGCATTGCTACCTGTAGAGATACGGTTTTCCGACAGTATGTAGCTATTGGATGTCGCCCTAAACATCCACTCCCAGACCTCTATAAGTATCAATCCTGTCAAAGATGAAGATCGTTTTCTTGCAGGCAGTAACCGTTACTTAGATGTGAGGTATAGATTATGAATCTGAGCATCTCAATTATATTGGACATGTTGGCAGGTGTGCCCCGTCGACCAGATTACATTCATTGCTGCAACAAAAGTTTCGACAAAGAAAAGTAAATGTTGCAATAACAACTTCAGAATATTTTGTTATCCACTTGATATTCTTGTATTATTTTTTAAGGGAGATCTATGCATTTTATGCATCTGCATGTACGTATATGATGTGTTGTGTATGCACAGTGTTAATAGCCTTTAAAACCACACACAAAGACCTTTCAAACACACTCCAAGATTCGGAATCAACACACCTTGATTTTTGTTACACACACAACCCAATTACTGATTTAAATTGAATTCTTGAAGATTAAACAACTAATCTTTGTCCACTTATTACATGTCAGTATTTATAATGAGATGGTTATATAATAAGGTGTAATTATAATTATATCCCTAGCACAGTTAGTGAGCACAAGACCGCAAACTCCCAATCACATACCTGAAACGTAGTTGGTTACTCTTCGGAAATTATCAAAACGTTTTTTGTTTTTGTTTTTTAGTGTATTCATAATAACCGTTGGCTTGGCTGATGCATGTCATCGTATCCCATTTGCGTGGAACGATGCTCATTATGTAAATCACTGGATTGTCTGGTCCAGATTCGATTATCAACAGATCGCCGTCATATAGCTGGAATATTGCTGAGTGCGGCGTTAAACAACAAACCAATCAGTCCCAAACACAGGCAAGATACAAGTGACAAAAAGCATATGCATTAGAGAAATATTTTGCGTTTATATCAATAAATATATCTCGTGCACTAAGTCCCTTCTCAATGGGATTGAACGAGTGCAAGAATAATGAGCCTATGTGCTCAAGTTTTGATAGTCTTTAAGTTGTTATTTAGTCAGTAATTAAGTAAATACTAGCTTAATGATTGCTAATTGGTGTACCTTGATGTATGTAGGAACACACTGAAACTTGGTTGTTGGTTTTGAACCCGTGGGTGTACCAGTGACTTCAGAAACGTGTCCTGTCTCTTTCGTCTCTGTAAATATGGCCGATTTGAAATAAAATGTGGTTTGATAGTTATGCACGTCCTCCTTCAGATGAGTCGATAGTATCCACTTTGTAAATATTGTTATGTGGTACTACATACTGCAACTTTATTTCTGATGATTGTTAGTGGCAGCCAGACAAATACTCATAGAATGTCATTAGCTGTTGTGGCTAGGTTTCTATTCAGTGGCATGCGTGTATAAGAAAGTGACCTCTCACTGTTGATTATACTGAACGCACGCACATACACACAAAAGCGCGCGCACACACACACACACACACACATACATGCAAGTCGCTATATATGTGCAATAATCTTGGACGCGACGTTAAACACCATTTCACCTCACCTCACCTTATTCCAAGAGTCTACAGATGAGTGAGTGAGTGAATTAAAATTTAACTTCGCATCGGCATTATTTCAGCCATATAGCGACGAGACCAAGATAATATATGTACATTTTAGTAATTAATTCCAAGCGCCTACAGACGATTGGTTGGTTGGTTGGTTATTTAACGCCGCACTCAGCAAGATTCCAGCTGTCTGTAAATAATCGAGTCTGGACCGGACAATCGAGTGACTGACATCATGAACATCGATCCACACAATTGGGATCGATGACATGCATCAACCAAATCAGCGAGCCTGACCTCCCGATACCGTAGTCGCCTTTTACGACAAGCATAGTAGCCTTTTAAGTCAAGCATGGGTTGCTGAAGACCTTTTCTACCCTGGATCTTCACGGCTCGTCTACAGATAAGACTACATTTGTCTCACTGTATATTATATGCAGAACAACTACGACAGTCGTAGCGATAAAAAACTGTAAAAGAAAACGTAAATGCAAAAAAAGTATAATATTTTAAATACAATTGTGTCAGAGGTATGACATGGTCCTGGCTTGTAAGTAGAAGATCTTCCTTTTGGATATTTCATATATATTCTTCGGTATCACTTTCAATGCTATGCATTTTAATAATGATAGAGCATTTACACACTTTCACGTATGAACACAACTGTACGTGTCCTTATTGGTATTAGTGAATACGCAACATACACATTGAGACAATGAAAAAGTACATGTATTATATGCATTTTGATGATAAAATGTCACCTTTCGAAGACAAGTCAACAGCTGATCAAGTCGCTTTCTCAGTCACAACAGTGATCGACAGTTTGAGCACAAAGTAGTTCCCCATAAAAAGTTAACAAAATACAACACGCACTTTTATGTTATTATAAGTTTCAATATCAATTATAAATCCTCCATATCTGGAAGAATATGTTTAAAGCAACAAGTATACAAAAATTTCGAAAATAAATATCTGTACAAATAACATATTTCTGTCATTTTTTAAAATACATAAGCCATGAATTATATAATAATGCTTATTGTTCCAAAATCACATGAAGTATTCATGTATACTGTAGGCTACCACTTGTGAGGATAAGTCATTTTAGTTCTTTTATGAGAGCTTCATTTAATTTCTCTAATTTTTTGGTTTGTCCTGGTTAATCATCCGGGTTATAGTCAGTGCATGGACAAGCACGTGGACGTAAGCAGAATGACACAAGAAAACATTGATGCAGAGCATCAAAGTTCCCCGCCATATGTGATGCCTCACAAACGCATAATTATGATGTTACTGAAAGGCATGATGGAGCATAATTATATTAACCACAAATAACACAACGCTGTTGTGGAAAACAATATTATTTATTTTGAGTATTGGGCAATACAGTTGATACATTTGCATAGGGTAGGTCTATTTAAAAATAGTTTCTTGTTTAACGCCGCACTCAGCAGTATTCCAGCCATATGACGGCGGTCTGTAAATAATCCAGTCTGTACCAGATCATCCAGTGATTGACACCAAGAGCATCGAACTACGCAATTGGAATATGATGTTATGCATCGACCAAATCGGCGAGCCTGACTACCCAATCCTGTTCGTCGCCTCTTAAATTACGGCAAACATGGGTTGCTGAAGACCTATTCTAACCTAGCTGGGTCTTTATTTAAAAAGTAGATCGAAGGAAATGGAAGCAATTTCTGGCACAAATGTAAACATGTGGAAATAGTTTCAAAACTGCCAACAACATTGGCAGATGCACATACTCAAATATTAGATCACATTCTTTTTACACTTGGCATTTGGTTATAATAATGTAAATGAAAATACTAAGGGCTCCATATGGCAAAAACGTTATACTAGATAAGGTCTTTTTGTCACAACAACAGATGCACATACTCAAAATATTATCACGTAGTTGGAGAACATTTCAATACCGGGGCTAATCAATAACGGAGATTCCTCGTCTCTTGTTTTACGTTTTTTGGTCAGTTTCTTTTTTGTATTTCTTTCTTTCAAAGAATAGCAATTGTGATCATGATGAGTTGAGTTACTTTTTTTTCTTTCTATGTACTGTTTTTTTTATCCAGTGTCAGTAACTGTTGTGGAATGTGGTTTACTTGTAACAATGACTGGTTTGAGTTCATATGATGATGATTGATTGGTTTGTCGTTTAACGCCGCACTAAGCAATATCCCAGCTATATGGCGGCGTTCTGTTAATAATCGAGTCTGGACCAGACAATCCAGTGCCTAATATCATGAGCATCGATCCACGCAATTGGGATCGATGCCATGCATCATCTTAAGCCTGACCATCCGATCCCGTTTGTCGCCTCTTACGACAAGCATATATAGTCGCCTGATATACTGTTAAGATGTAACATAAAAATTCATCCGTACTACTAAACATAAGTTAAACCGCTTGTCCATTCGGATCAATCTGACCCAAACCATTCCGCTGATGAGAGTCAAATAATGCATACGAATCAAAATCCGTAAAAATTGCAATGGAGACATCATTAAAAGTTACCAAAAGTGACGGGGATATCAATATTGCTTGTTGAAATGATTCTATGAAATTTGTTTTCCCTGCTTCAATGTTTGGAGCACCTGTGACGGAGCCATAAAACTGATCTGTTATGTAGACAATATCGCTTGAGGCAGTGGCTGCTGGGAGCTGATTATGACCTAAATACCACTCATAGCCTTCGGTGTTAAC